AAGACAGTCTTTTAATAGGCCTATTAATTAGATGTGCGGGAAATGTAGTAATGAAGTTATGACCTGTGCATTGAAGCATGAACATCAAAATTGAACTAGACTCTTCAGATAAGCAAATTAAAGTTAAATTGAACGTGATACCGGAGATGTTAAAAACAAGTTAAAATATCCGCTCCACATTTCCAAATTGGGAAAAGGCATGTGGTGTTGGGAAATAAAGTAACAGTGCCATTTAACTCAAACTGGTAGCATCATAGAAGCAGTAGTTTGTGTGCTTTTCCCTGCGAGTCCACATGATTTGATATACCTGTCTTGCCACTGTAACCAGTACACACAGTATTTTAGTCCTCGTGGTCAAGTCTCAGCTTGCAATAGCCGCAAAGAGGCCAGAAGTAAGATAAAACTGCAGGGAAAAGAGAGAAAAAAAACTATTCAGTGAGTAAAATAAGAGGGGCCAAGATACAGAGATGGGGAGATATTATAGACTCAGAGTGAATGAAGAAAGTTGCACTGGGTAAAAGGGAAAGGATCAGATTGGAGAGATTTGGACAGAATTAAAGCTGTGGACACTGAGCCAGTTCTCAGAGTGGAGTCAAACCCCGAAGCTTTAGATGTTAGAAGCCTTGGCTAATAGCTGGTCACGCCAGCATGTGTTGGAACATGCCTGAAGACCGAGTAGATTGTTGTCCAATGCATGACAGATTGATGGTGTAGCAGCAGCTGGAGGGGATCTCTGAGCATGTTGTAGTCTTGTCACATCCTGGCCCAGATGTGAAAACAGAGCTAAAATGTGTAGCGCAGTCAGCTTAGCACTATTGCTCAATTACAGCCAGCTGTGGAGTGAGTATTTAAACCAGCCTAATCCTCTGACCTCGTGTCCCTCAACCCAACCTGGTCTCTGCAGGATCACATAGACTTATAGAAAAGGGTAATAAACAAAACTGGTGTTACATATTCCCAACAGAGCTTTTTAAAGATTTTTTTTAAAGAATATTGCACTTTTTTGCATTGTAATTGAAGCACTTTTACTTTCAGTATGTTATATTATTTATTAGGTCCTGGTAACATTTTGATTCACTTTTAATGGTTTTGTTTTGTCTTTTAGACATAAAACTATGTTAGACTTGCAACAAACACATGTACCTGAAAAAGTGCATAAATAAAGATGATGTATTATATGAATGCAACTTCAAATAATGTTACTAACAAATTGATTAAAATTGGAAAGACTAATGCTCATTTTGGGGGAGTTTTACAAGTAAACACTTTGTTTTTGGCTTAGTGTCATGCATTGCGGTTTTGGGAAAGCTAGCGAGGCTGTTTGGCAAAATCAGGCTGTTATTCTCTCATTTCTGTGTTGTTAATTAAATTGCTTCAGGCAGCTAAGCAGCATTAAAATTCTTTTTCTCCCCTTTCTTCAGTGAACAGCTTGGGCATCAGCGACGAGCTGAAGCAGAAGCTCCAAGATGTTATGGTGGACAGACATAAATTAACCCTGGGAAAGACCTTGGGAGAAGGTAGTGCTCAGTGTTTTGTTATTTTTTTTAATATATATATATTTAATCGCAGGCTTTGTTAACACTTCTTTATCAAAATTGGTACATGTTCATAGACTTGTCTGCCATAGCACCAATGCAGGTTTCTACTTATCTCCTGTCAGACAAATATGTTATATATTTGTATAGTAAAACGGTTTGCTGTTTAATAGCCGTATAAACTGTTTACAGTTGAGAAATTAATGAGTGGCGATTTTCAATTGCTTTTTAAACTACGTTTTTCTGTCTTCAGGGGAGTTTGGCTCTGTGATGGAAGGGCTGCTGACTCAAGAAGAGTTTGTTCTCAAAGTCGCTGTCAAGACTATGAAAAGTGAGTAGACAGTAAAAGTACTCAGCAATCACTACAATGAATCCCTTCATCTCTGGAACACAGGGCATTTGATAAGCAGCCTCCTGGGTCAAAAATTTACAAGTGTTCAGGGCAAAAATCTC